TGCCACCCAGCAATCCCTAGCCACTGTGCCAGCCCCTGCCTCATTTCAATCACATGCCCACAGCCTTGTTCTCAGCTCTGCATTTCTGTTTCCCTTTTTCATGCACAATCCCAGCCTTGCCATGCACTTGCCCGCCCCAGAGTGACTTTGTCTCCATCCCTGGAAGTGCCATCACAGACCCAGGCACTATGCCAGCATCGGCGGGGGATTTAGGCATATTGCTGCAGCCCCCGTTTGCCCTGCGCACATCCTGTTCTACGTACAGTCCCAATACCAAGCCCCTGCATCCATGTCCCAGGCCTAGAGTTGTCAACCGTACAGTTCCCATACCTGCCCCACAGGACCCCTTTCCCATCCCTGCTGATTTCAGCTCTTGACCCACAAGCTTTATTTCTCTGTTCTTGGAGCTCCCGCTGTTCAATTCTCCAGCTGTGTCAGGTGAAACTGCTCCCGGCTTAAACATGAGGGCCTTGGCTTTGGCTCCAATTTTGAAGCTGCACCTCCAAGTCTAGAGACACCATTCTCACCCCCATTCCAGCAGTCATTATTCTGTCTCCAGCTTGTCATTTTGTGTCCCATTTTATGGTTACTCTCTAGATCTACCGTAAGTATCCCTTTGAGCAGTGATTGATGCTGCAGCACTGCAGTCCCTACCGTGGCCCCAGTGATTTCAGCTCCAGTCCCACAAGCTTTATTTCACTGCCAGCTCTCATTTCACTTTCTGTTCAACATCTTCCCAGCAGTGCCACACAATGCTACTTTTGCTTCTCAGGGCAGGCTCTTTGTTTTAACGCTAGCTCTCTGTGTGGTTTCAGCTCAGCTCTTGAGCCTATGTTCTTGAGCCCCAACACGACAACCCCTCCTGCAGCAATAACTCTGTAATCCCTATGGTAGCCCTTACAGCAATTTCAGCTGTGACCATTCAGTTCACACCCCAGCACCACATTCCCTATCCCAGCCCCACAGGGGTTGTACCCCAAACCCTACCATATTTCTGTCTCCTCCAGCTCTTCTGCCTCAGCTCCAGCTCCTCAGCTTCCTACTGCCTGCTGCTAAAAGCTGCTTCTGCTTGTCACTGCAGTTTGGGGCTGTTGATAAGGCCACAAATCAGTTACTGTTGTCATTTCAATGTCTCCAGTAGCTGTCCCACCCACCCTCCCTCGTGGGATCCCAACTTTGGGGACACTTGAGGCCTGAAGGCCAACATCTACCTTCCCCCTCCCACTGTGTCTCAGCCCAGCACCCGCCCAGAGATGCCCCTCACCTCCCATGGGCTAGGAATAGCCACCAGGCCCCTGGTCCCCCATCCCAAAAGGTGCCCTTGGGCTGGCTCTTGGGCCCTGGAACCCTCTCTGAGCCCCCACACCCCCAGCCTCTGCTTGGTACCACAGGGCAGGGGCTGGGATACTCTGGGCATGTCCTGCAGGCCCTGCGCTGCAGCTCTGTACCCTTCTCCCACGGCATTTATCCAGCCCCAGGCTTTCCACCACTCCCTGTTGTTTTGGGCCTGGCTCGTGCCAACGTCCCTGTTCTGCACCCTGGGGCTTGATTTCTCCACTGGTCTCACAACGGGTGTTTCAGCCCCAATACCCACAACCCTTACTGAATAAACATCAGATATCCAGTAAAGAAAAAGCCAAACCAAAAAAATATAAAATGTAATTAAATAAGCAAAGTAACGAAATAATACAACAAAGGCAGAAACCATTCCTACTACAAATAAAAGAATAAAGAAAAAAGAAAAACAAAAATCCAGCTTTATTCCCGGTATTCTGAACGTTACATTAAATACAGACACCGCAAACAGCTCCTTCCCGGATCCCGGTAACAGCAGCCAGTCCCCCCCGGCACAACTCCAGCCCCCGCACCAGCCGCCGGCTCCCCCCGTACCGGCGCAGGCAGACGCGGAAGTCGCGTCCGTGCTCACCAGCGCTCCCCGGATCAGCAGCCGCGGGGTTCCCATCCCGGCGCAGCAGCGCTCCTCGGATCGCGCACCCGCACGTCCCACACCTCTCGACTCCGCCGCCGAACTGACGCCAGGAGCGCCTCAACGCACGCTATTTATGCCCCAAGCCGGACCACCCAGCCAATCACAACCCGAGGCAGCGCCGGCCCCACCAATCCCAGCCCGCCCGTTCCCGCCGCGCTCGGCTCCGCGCGCCCCCCCCCATTCCCATCCCGGTCCCCTCAAGCCCTGCTCCCGCCGCCGCCATTGCAGGGGTCGAGTCCGCCCGCTCCCCGCCGTCTGCCCGTTTTTCTGGGAGAAATCCCGGCCAGGACCTGAACGGGAAGCTCCCGCCCGCCCTTTCCGGCCCCAACAGCGCCTGCCGAGGCTGCGGCAGCGGGGACACGGCTCCGCCGGCTCCCAAAGCGGCAAGTGGCGGCGTGTCCAGGTCCCGGCGAAAAGACCCCCGCAGAGCCCCGACCGGAGCGCCCCGGGCGGGGAGGGGCGTAGGTGGTTGCGGCTCGCAAAGGCGGACTCTGCGGCAGCAGAGCGGACCGGGGAGCGGCGGCGACATGGTAGGGCGGGGGGGCTCGGCAGAGGGGAGTGGGGAGGGCGTGCAGAGCCCGCTGCGGGCTCCGGGCCCCTCTTCCCCCGCAGTGCTTCCGCTTCTGTGGGACTTGGCCTGCCCCCACTGGCCGAGATCAGCACGCTGGCCAAAACAGTTAAGTGCCCGCGTCCCCCTGCCCGCCCTCCGCCTGCTGCGGGCCCGCTGCTCACCCTCCTTCTCCCCCACAGTCGTCGGTTGTTATAGGTGATAAAACAATATTGGCTTTCACATTCATAGATTCGCTTTTTGCATCTCAAGTATTTCGATATGGTAGCCACAGAACACCTAATTTATTGCTCACTTATCAGAAGCAGCTAACTTCTTCCTGCCTTGTTCAGCCTCAGGATTAAGAGCAAGAAGTTGACACTGACCAGACAGAAACCTTTGTTTGGAGTTCTGCATCGTGTATGAGATGTATGAATATGCAACAAGCTATTGCTTTTAAGGGTTAATCCTCTGTTAATGTGTGTCCTTTTTCAGGCTTATTTTGCCCAGAAAGAGGTACCTGGACTGTCCATAACTCTTTGTTTTTATTGTCTCATATTGTCCTAATCCTAATTGCTCAAATTTTTATTACTCTAATTATATTTGTATTTTTATAACCATTTTATTACTATTAAACTTAAAAGTTTTAAAAGAAGTGATTGGTGTTTTTCACATATTATATCGTAGGTTCCAGCAAAATGTTAAAATAGAGACTAAAATATTTCTATGTAACTAACTCAGAAAATGGTGTAAAGCAATTATTCTGTTTCTTATATCTGCATTCTAACCTTTCCAAGTGATAAGGTAACAGTGACAAAAACAGAGCTTAAGCCTCCAGGAAGGATTTATTGACTCTATTTGCACTATCAGGGAGTGTGAAACAACAGGATAAAACTACAGGAAGAAATAAAATATGTAGACCTAATTTACAGAATGTTCTGCAGACAAGTCAGAGGTTAAAACCAATGAAGAGAGTTCCTGGAACATCAAAAACTCAAAGGAACGTTTGAATAATGTATAAGCTAATGAATATGCCTGTTACCCCAGCAATGTAACCAGTATATAGTGAACATGATTGTAAGCCACCTCTGCGCTCTTTAGCCAGGCACCAAAAGCACCCCAGTGCTGGATTATTTTGTCCTTTTATCTTTTATTAAACTTTAAAATATTTTGAAGAGTGAACTCTTTATCACATCAGTGAAGCTTAAGCTGATCTGCATCCAGGTGCTGTGGGACCTGCTGGGGGAGGCCATTGAGCTAAGTGTGGAGCTACCACAGTGGAGGCCAAGTATTTCAACACTACAATAGCATGAACAGAACTGCTTACTGTCACGGCTCGGCCTGGACTCATTAATTACCATCTGTCTCTTGCCAGGGCCATAAACTCCCTGATAAAACATAAGGTGAAAGCTAAATGGTTGATGTGCTCCATCTTTCTTGGGCTTGGTAAGCAGTTTTTGTTATCAGGTTGGACAACACATACACCAACACCGGAGTATATTTAAATACAGTCTAAACACCAGCAAGTTTATGTATTTCCTTCCAAGAGAACTGCAGAAAAGTTATACTCAGTGACACAGACATTCCAAATACTAGGAGTGTCTTTCATGAGAAAAAAAAGATATAAGCTAAAAGAACTTGCCTCGATGTAGATTTCAAAAAGTTCATTTAAACTCTGTACAATAACCTGAACAAGCAGGCCAACTTGAAATTTGCAGGAGATATGTCTGTTCAAAAAAAAGTGAACGAAAAAACTGGGGAACAGCTGAAGCAAATTAATTTAAAGGTCAATTGTATTTTGTAAGAGTCTCTGCATTTTTATTGGATATAGCAGAACAGCCAGCACCACCACCACTGTGAAAAAGCACAGACAAAACCCCCATGAAATAATAAAAGATACAGGAACTTGAGTGTAGCTAGAAAAAAATAACTTTTTAAAAGCTAATCTATTTGAGATAGGCTCTACCTACAGACTTGTCCAAGGAAGAAAACTAATATTTATTACATCAGACACAAATATATAGAACATTGCTCTAAACTGGAAAAAAAAGTGAATTTTACATTTCAAATGCTTTGCAAGCAACATTAAAAGTTACTGTGTCACAAGACATTGTTTCAGCTACCTGCCCCTTCCACAAAAATCTTTATATCTATAAGCCCTAGTAAGTACACTCCACGGTCCCTCCATTGAAGGGGGCACCTGTAAATTACTACAGTGTGATAAACAGAAGCAAATCAAGAAAAATGAGACACTAAAGCTGCTATATGTAGCTGTAGTACATAATCACAAATAGCTCAGTAACGTTTTATGATGCTTACTGATTACCCTGACTGCAGTAGTTCTAATCTTGGCAAACTGGCTGTTGCCACCTCTACCAATGCAAGCTTGCAAACAAACGGGTAACCTGGACTTTGTCCTGGTTTTCTATTGGTCATCGTTGCTTGAGAATAACTGGAGTCCAAATACCACCTGCAACCCTTTTTTAGTTCTCAGGAAGAGGCTAACAGACCTCTTTATAGTGCCAGCTTTCTCTTTGCATAGGCAACAAGAACTGAAGCCTTATAAAGCACACAATTAGGTAAATTAAGCATTCAGATGGCCTAAGTATACTCTAATATTAGTTTCATTTCCAAACCCATGTAAAAATACATTCTAAAATAACCTCTTTAAAGGGAATCTTCAAAGTTGAAGATTATAAGTAGACAAGAAACCAACTCCCTGCAGACTCAATCAGGGTTGTCAATTCCCAAGAGGTTCTTAGTCCTCCTTCATGATACATTTGATACAATTAGTACATGGTGGGAATATACTGATACATCACTACGTTATTAGAAGTTGTATGTGCAGGGTTCTATCCATCTCCCCTTTCACAGACTTGCTGGCAGAGGTCAGCTACTTCCCATAAAATTTCTTATTCAGAAGAAAGATCAGAAGATTGACGTTCACTTTTGCTCTGTCAAACAACTTCATGACAGCAACACCTTCATACTGCAGCTGCAAGAGATCCTGCCGAAGAGAATGTTCTTAATGAGTGAGGAATCCTCAAGATCTGACAGAGAATATAAAAGACCCTGTAGTAGTACTGTAGATCTTAAGGAATATCAACAAAAAAGTACACAGCGTAAGATAGAAAAGTGAGAGACTTATTAAAGAGCCACTTTTACTGTGTAAAAAATAGTCATTCTAAGGCATTTAAGGTCTTAATTATTTTAAGCAGTGGGTTAAAAAAAATTACAAAAGAGAACAGAAACAGAAAACCATTCTAAGTAACCCAAATTTCAGATCTAGCCATCTTCAGCCTTGTCATTTGCACAGTAGCCATAAAGTTGCTGCAACATTTAGAACATTTAGGTTTCCTACGTGCCTAATTCTATCACATACTCATGAAACATTACAACATTCCAGGGTCCCTTTCTGAAAGCTTTTGTTGCCACAGATCTCAGGGCAGTGGCTTACAGCACTTCAATCTACGGCGCAAAAAGAAATGCCATTTCAGTCAGTATGCATATGATGTCGAGTCAGTCTCTTAGATGTTTACGTAGGCAGTATTTCTAGTTATACTTTGCTTTGTCAGCAATGCACCTGCACTGATTTTATCTCACGGATTAAATTCTTTCCGCAATCCTGCTCCTGCAGATAACATGGTGGGTAGGTGTGGGCATTTGAGTGGACATGTGTGATGCTGTATCCCTTGTTGCTGACCTCTGACATCATCTGCTTTATCTGCAAAGCACTACAACAAAGGCATAGTGGTATAGTAAACCATGTGCCTGAGAAGCGAGTGACCTTGGGTAGCCCCATGAACCGACAAGTTCGTGACCAGCTCTGACAGATTAGGACCTCAGCTTACTAGGGGAGTCCTCGAGGCAGCTGTCCATCCCAGCAGCCAAGCTGGCATGGACTAACTGCAATGCAACGTGCTACTGTGCACAATCTGTTTTGAGAGGCCTGAAGCTTCCACAACTAACAAACATAATGAAGACCAAGATGGACAGGGGGTGGGGAAAGAAAGGGACAGAGACGCCAGGTGTGAAAATACCGGCATGAGAAAAAGAACAGGGAACCGTTTGGGAAAAGGTCAGCACGCCTGTTCAGTGGCCTAAGTAAAGGCTGACACCTAAGGAGGACACCTAAGAACTGGCAACAAACAGGAAAGTATAGGGTAGCAGAAAGAATACCGATACACAATGACTGGCTGAAGCCATCACACACAAGCCAAGGTGACTGCTGCCACAGACTCCCAAGCTCTCTGCTGTAGCAGGAAATTGTTGAAAATGCAAGTGTTTGTTTTGTGTGCATATGTGTACACATAATTAAGAACACAGACTGACATCAGGCTTTCATTAGCAAAGAAACAAAAAGCAGTTTTGTACATGTTGCATCTGTTGCACCTGCAACAAATGGGTTATTTTTGGGAGCATTACGCGACCGTTTAGGCAAAAAACGTGTCATTGTTATTTTGATAAAGAGACTGTCAGGGGAACTTACATGACACTATTAAATAGGACAGTTCTTACCTGATAATGTAACATAAAGGTTTCCATCTGTACACCCATGAATTTTGCTTTAACCTCAAAATCTCCTACTTCTTCTGTGGGACTGATTTCAAAAATCACATTTTTAAACCTATGAAATTGAGAAATGAAAAATCATAGGGAGGGAATATATGAGATGAAACGTGAAGATAAATTTCTAAGAATTCTCTTCTTAACTCTTTATTCTATTATCCCCATTTGAAATAAGCCCATACAAGCCAAACAGACTCAATACAACAATGAACAGAAGCCTAACAGATTCTAACAGTCCAGTAAATCATATCTTCACACAAGCATAGCAGGAAACAGGGTAATTTAATATAGTTTGCACAATCTAAGCAGTCTACTTTAGTGCTGCACATTCATACCTCATTTAGTGGACCAAGTACAAAGTATGACTCAGAGCTGAAAAAATTCTAGTAGCAGCCAGCTCCTCTATATTCCACACAAGATGTGCCAGCTTCTCAAGGCTAGCAAACCACAGCTGGAAAAACTCAAGCTAGCATAAAGCTGATTTTTCAACAATGGAAGCTATTAACCATAATAACAATTCATCCAAGGAGGTACCCTTCCATAACTGTGGGGGTGACAGAGAAGGGGTTAGAGGAAAGAGGATGTCATGTTTAAATCACATTACACTTCTCAATCAAAGAATTGCTTTGCTCCAACCAGAAAAAGAGAAGTGAAGAGTGATCACTATGCAAGGTGCCTTGGCCCTAGAGATGCCAGCCTAGGTCATCAAAGCAACTTTTTCAGCTTTACTAACTAAGTCTAACAACACTAAAATTCCAGTAACAAAATTGCAAGACAATGTGACACAGCCTCAAATAGATCTCAAAATTTCTGATCCTCAACTATCAGCACCTAGACTAGTTCTAAGAAAAAGGTAAGAATTCAGCATACCTATTTTCCTTTTCCTCCAAAAAGGTTA